TGTAACTTCTTATATTTTAGAAAAATAAAATTAAATTCCACACGGACGAAATCCCGTGTACAGCTAGTCATCAATAAAAAAAACACGTAGGTATCTCTAATATATTATACACTAGCTATTCCGGCGACTTCGTCCACGTGGTTTTTAACTTTATTTTTCTAAAATAAAAGTAGCCTAAGTTACTCCTTATTACATCAGCTACCTGTCAAAAAAGGTCCCATCAAAATCGGTCCAGCCATTTCAGAGATTAGCCGGAACAAACAGACCGACAGACAGACAGACAATAATTGTAAAAATTGTTATTTTGGTATATGTACCTTATATATATTCATATGCATGTAGTAAAAAACGGTTATTTCAATATTACAAACAGACACTCCAATTTTATTTATATGTATAGATTATTATTTATTTATTTATTTATTCATCCAAAATAATACAAATTGTGTAGGATAACGTAATAGTAACATTACAGTAAAATTTTGTCAACAACATAATAGCAACTTAAACATTAAATCTCGGTATATCTATAGACTAGCTGGCCCCAGCGACTTCGTCCGCGTGAAATATTATTTTATTTTTCTAAAATAACAGTAGCGTAAGTTACTCCTTATTACATCAGCTACTTGCCAAAAAAAAGTCCCGTCAAAATCGGTCCAGCTATTTCAGAGATTAGCCGGAACAAACAGACAGACAGACAGACAAAACTTGTAAAATATGTTATTTTGGTGTATGTACCGTATTTATATTCATATGCAAGTAGTAAAAAACGGTTATTTCAATATTACAAACAGACACTCCAATTTTATTTACGTGTATAGATCTATAGATTTAAAAAAAGTAACAGTCATAAGGCTAGTCGTATGCCTAATATATATAATAATGTAATAAATTCATTTAAACAGAAATTGCGGCAACATTATTTAAATTTGTAACTTTTTTACTGTCCTTCTCCTTTTTTCACATCTTTCTGTTATATCCCTATAGTTCTCTCTATATTTTCTGTTTTTCTTACTTTCAATTTGAGACTGTACTTATAATTTGATTATCGGATCATTATGTATTTACTTATATATAATATTTATACATTTATGGGTTATATTTAGATATATATTTATGTATGTATATTGTTATTTTTTTATAAAAATTTATATTTTGCTTTGTATTTATATATCTTTTTTTGACATTTCTTATTTATATTAGTTCACCGTCAATAATCTTTCGCTGCACCACTCATGGTTGCCTGGTAAATAACGCGGCAAAATATTAAGTCCGCCACATGTACAAATTTTTTTGTGCATTAAAGTTAAAGAAATAAAAAAATACAATACTGTTTAATGAAATGTCCGTGATGGTATATGTCTATCTCTTAAGGATAACCAAAAATAACCATTTTTTATCTTTTACATTTTACGGGAATTTTTTTTATCGTATGTTTCCCTTAAAATCATGTAAACAATGTTATTATGTCATAATCTAAAGAAATAATAATATTTTATAGTGATATATCCACTATAAAATACCAAAAAGTAGCAATGTAATTCGTTACGCGCGAATCAGCTGTTATAAGGTCAAAGGTCGGTGCACCCCGCGTATTTGATAAATAGTGCTTCTCTGGATGTCTTTAAGAGAAAATGGCAGTATGTACGTGTATATGTACAAGTCCTTAAGTGTTAAGTTTTTCAAATGAAAGAAGAATAAATATTTTTAAGTACAGTACTTACGTACATTAATATAATACCTACTTTTTACTTGTATCTATTGTTATTAAAATTAAATTATAAGTTCTTAACTTGACCACGACTATGTGACCCTCTCTTGGCGCCAAAACGAGTGAAAAAATGAACAGCATACGACGACGACGCAGTACCTATAGAGTGGAGCAACTGCTTATTCAGTTTTATTCAACTATTTAGTCCCTCCACCGTTACAATGAATGGAGGCGGATATTACAATGTATGTAGCATTGCGAATATAAAATATCTAGATTAGGTATAATAAATTCATAATTGATAGGCCGTTACGGTATCAGAGCCAAAAAGTCTTCTTTCTTTGTACTGTTAGATGCGACAGCGACTTTGTTTTATACTACACTATGTAATGATTGATATACCTAAAATAAATAAAATATCTGAGGTTTGGACAAAAATTCAAAAGGTACTTTATTTTGAAAAAGTATTTTGAAAATACCTATTTTGCATTTAGTATTTGAAATACAAAACACAAAACTATTTTTGTTATTAGAGTGACATTTCTATGAATTCACTGTCGATAGCGAGCGGTGCGATGGAAAAAGATAAACGTTTATAAAAATATAATAAATAGCCCTGGACAATTAACACAGACTGATACTGAACTGATATAAATAGATATTTTTATTTTGTAAATACATATAAAACACCCAGACCGATGAAAACAATCGATGACCGATGAGTACAAATGTTTGCACCGTGCGAGAAATCGAACCCGCGACCATCGGATGTAAAGCGGTGTGACCACCGAGGCAGTCGAAATATATAAATAATCTTATGAATTTAATTTATTCTAATTTGTTTGTGTGCGCGGGGTGCGGTGTACGGTGCTCCCCCTGCCTCCACCGTTGCTGGAGCTTGCATGTATGGAGCATTGCGAATATAAAATATCTAGATTAGTAAATTCATAATTGATAGACCGTTACGGTATCTATATATATTCGGATTAAAATAAGTATCGCAGTAAGGACCAGTATATAAAGTGATCAACACAATTAATTGATTTTTGAAATATATATACAGAGCCAAAAAGTCTTTGTGTATTCAAAAAATATCTAATTTGTTTGTGTGCGCGGGGTGCGGTGTACGGTGCTCCCCCCTGCTACGCTGGAGTTACTATGTATGGAGCATTGCGAATATAAAATATCTAGATTAGTAAATTAATAAATTCATAATTGATAGACCGTTACGGTATCTATATATATTCGGATGAAAATAAGTATCGCAGTAAGGACGAGTATATAAAGTGATCAACATAATTAATTGATTTTTGAAATATATTCAGAGCCAAAAAGTCTTTGTGTATACCAAAAATTTTGCCGTTCGGAGCCAGTCATGCACGAATTATTAGTAAAAAATGTGTCGAGTATATCGTACTATCGACGAATATATATGGCCACATCGCAAAGTAGAATGCGACGTTGCCATACCGCCTGAGATATACGCGATAGGAGTCAAGTTATTCAGTGCAAAAGGTGGAATCGGCAAGTGTTTAGGTTGTGGCGTGATCAACAAAGTGCCCAAAGAGGTGTTTATATATATATACCTATATATGTATAAAGTTATAAAAAAAAAACAAATAACATATATACATATCTGTATTTTTGTACGGAAATTTACATGCGTCAAAGGCTCTGCAGCACTTTATGTTATGTATGATTTTGTGAAAAAAATAATATATATTTTACAAAAATTCTCATCTCCCCTCTTAAGGAGAGTAGATGGCAACTTACCCCCGGCAGGAGCACAGTCGGCCGGGGTTCGTTGCCCCAGGGAGAGAAACCGGCGTACAATAGGGGCAGAATCTAAGATTATTATTATTATATAGAAATTATATGTTTATGTACTAATAAAACAAACATATTTGCCAGATGAATTGTTTTTTTTATTATTTTATTATTATTACAAATTTTATACATAGTGTCTGTACATTGTAAAATTCCAAATCTATATCTACAAGAATATAACAACAAACTTACAAACTATGATATGTATAGTATATATAATATCTCCTCTACCGCCACCTTCGTAAATAATTAACAATATGTAGAAATAGTTAACATCTTAAATGCATATGAAATACACGATACTTATATAATACTAGTTTCACAGGTCTATGGTATCGCTTATGTACTATGAATGGAAGGTTCTCCTATTCATATATATATATATATATATATATTTTTTATGAATGATAATGGAATGGTGCACCCGACTGCGATAATGGTTTACGCTGGCGGGGCACCAGTGGGGGATGATAAGATGAGCATGAGGTCAGGTCAATTAGCCCATCGTGACAAATTCACCTGGAATTTAACAAGATTGTTTCCAGGGGGAACCGCGTGGAGGTCTTATTCATATATATTGCGTGTTCAGGTGTGGTGTCATGAGCTTTACCAAATGAAAACACATTTATATTTTATCACAATTGTAATGCGACGATACGGGACTACATCGTATATCTGACTGGGGAGGGACGTGTAGTAGGTGCACTGTGCCACGCGATGTAATTCAATCTCTGTATTAACAATATGTATGTGTGTGTGCATAGCACACCTACACTAGCTTTTGCCCGCGGCTACGCTCGCCTTAATTTATCCCCTTAGGGGTGGAATTTTTCAAAATCCTTTCTTTGGGGATGCCTACGTCATAGTAGCTTTATGCATGCAAAGTCTCAGCCCGATCGGTTTAAAATTGACAAAGTTTTATACAAACTTTCATCCTCTGTTTTATTCCCTTGGGGGTAGAAAATAATCAAAATCATTTCTTGGATGCCTACGTCATAACATCTGCCTGCATGCCAAATTTCAGCCCGATCCATCCAGTGGTTTGGGCTGTGCGTTGATAGATCACTATGTCAGTCACCTTTGAGTTATATATATATATAGATTAATGTTTAAAAAAATTGTATCTGTCTGTTCTTGCTATTTCCGAAACAGCTAGACCGATTTTGACGCGATTTCCACTCTCATATTGCAAATGTTATAATGAGATTTGATTTATTTTAATTTCACGCAGGTAACAGCTAGTAATTAATAATGATAGACCACAATTCACACGTATTGTATACACATAACATACCCACAGTGTGGTAATGGGGATTGTTAGTAATGTGGACTGATTATATCATTGCTAGCAATGTACCATGTCAGGTTGACCTCGCGGTTCCCCCTGGAAACCATCGTGATAAATTACTGGTGAATTTGTCACGATGGGCTATCTGACCTGACGTCATGCTCATCTTATCATCATCCATTGGTCCCCGCCAGCGTAAACCGTTAGCGCAGGCGGGTGCACCATTCCATTATAATAAAAAAAAACATACCCACATAGAAAAACACTCGGACTAAAATAAAACAAACACACTCATAAAATGTTTGTATAATGTCAGGATCAAATTAGTGACTATCGGAAAGTAATATATTGTGTTAAAGCGCTACCAATGGGGACATCGAATACTATAAACTCAATAGTGACAATAAAAAAATATTTACTGAATAACTCTTTCATTATTTCAAATTTAAATTTAAATTATTTATTTGTGGTGTAGAGGTAAACAAAGGTCTTAGAATAAATAACATGTTAATTATCTTAATAGTGACTAGTGTCTATTGAAGAATAAGATTTGCATCTTTAAGATGACTTCAGTAATAAGATGTGCAGTCAGAAGTTTATAAGTTAGAAGTAGGTCAGTGAGTCATACTCATAACTGACCAGAGACACAGGGGTCAGAGTGCTGTCAGAGTTCAGTCAGGGTGGGTTCAGCCCACCCTGACTGAACTCTGTCAGAACGCGGCCAGAGTTCGGTTAGGGTGGATTGAACGTGGTCAGAGTTCGGTCAGGGTGGGTCAGAGTTCTGTAAAGGTGGCGCCAGAGCGCGGTCAGAGTTCGGTCAGAGTTTAGTCAGAGTGCGGTCCGAGTTGAGTCAGAGAGCGGTCAGAGTTCAGTCAGAGTGCGGTCCGAGTTGAGTCAGAGAGCGGTCAGAGTTCAGTCAGAGTGCGGTCCGAGTTGAGTCAGAGAGCGGTCAGAGTTCAGTCAGAACGCGGTCCGAGTAGAGTGAGAGCGCGGGGGGCGTGTCAGTCGACGTAGAGCCTGACGAGCGAGCCGTCCCCGGCCGGACACCGCGTGACGGGACACGCGCCGCGCGACCGCACGTGCCGGGAGATGCACACGTAGCAGAATATGTAGCTGGAAAACACATATGTATTGCATTCATATATACATACATATAAATAAAATTGTAATGTCCGTTTGTAATATTTAAGTAACCGTTTTTTACTCCATGCATATGGATATAAATACGGTACATACACCAAAATAACATTTTTTACAATTTTTGTCCGTCCGTCTGTTTGTTCCGGCCAATCTCGGAAATGACTGGACCGATTTTGACGGGACTTTTTTTGGCAAGTAGCTGATGTAATAAGGAATAGCTTAGGCTACTTTTATTTTAGAAAAATAAAGTTAAATTCCACGCGTACGAAATTGCGGGTACAGCTAGTTTTTAATATAAATGTATTTTGTAAGTGATCTGCGTCGACCTTAGTCGTCTCCCTATTTCAGCCGCCAAGCTGAATGCTTTGGAAGCTGTTTCGATTTTTATTTATTTACTAGCTGTACCCTACTTACTTTTACTAGAGGTTTCAACTGCGTTAAAGATTAGAATAAATTATTATTTCAATTAAAGTGCTCACGGGTGATCGCCCAGTCCCAACGTGTAAATTTACTTTCGTCGCGGAGCGATATCTTTAACGTGTTAAAATTTAATTCAAGTTTGATTCAGTCATTTTCCATCAGGTCATTTGATATGGTGAAGTTGAGGTACTCACCCAGAGACTGGTAACACGGTGGGAATCTTCCAAGTCTGCAGACATATCGGACATTTGTTCTTCCATCTCACAGCTTTTTCGTCAGGCTGGAAAGAATACATATCAACATAATAGAGTACTCTTTGTATAATAATAATAATAACATCTCAGGACAATTCACACAACGCCATCTAGTCCCAAGCTAAGCAGAGCTTGTGTTATGGGTACTAGACAACTGATATAAATACATAGATGCATTTATTTTTGTAAATAAATACATATTATACATAGAAAACATCTAGACCGATACAAACAATCATACTCATGAATACAAATGTTTATATCGTGCGAGGAATCGAACCCGCCACCATCGGATAGTAAAGCGTTGTGATAAACCACTACACCACCGAGGCTGTCAGTCAGTTTACTTATTAGGGGATAGCGGATAAGGTAGGACTGTAGGGAAAAAAATAAAGGATGCATAACAAGGAACTATTGTGGCACTGCACTCACTGGGCCCAACTTTCTGCTGCGTGCTGCTACTCCGACCACGACAATGTACCTGTCCCGTCTACATTACGCCACTAAGGAGCAGGACATTGTCGATTATATACGAACCAAGAGTAACCTGACATTGAGGGTGACGCAGCTGGAGTCGAGTCACAACGCGAGTTTCAAAGCGTTTGTGGCCCTGGTCCCCACCGACTTGCTGCCCACCTTCATGAAAGAGGACTACTGGCCGAAAGGTGTGGTATACCGGCACAACCGTGGCAGATTGCCGTCTTCAGTGCCGTGATCACACAGACAATATTATTGTATTAGATTTTAAATATGACGGCCTCGGTGGTCTAGCGGTCTAGCACACCGCTTTACGTCCGATGGTCGTGGGTTCGATTCCTCGCACGGCACAAACATTTGTATTGATGAGTATGATTGTTTGTATCGGTCTGGGTGTTTTCTATGTATAATATGTATGTATTTACGAAAAAAAAAAATCTATGTATTTGTATCAGTTGTCTAGTACCCATAACATTAGCTTTAGCTAGCTTAACTTGGGTCTAGATGGCGCTGTGTGAATTGTCCTGAGATTATTATTATTATTATTATTAAAATATTATATTATATGTATGTTAGTCTATAAGGTATTTATAATATGGGCCTAGTTGCCTGAAATAAATTAATAAATAAAATAAATAACCAGGGCTGTCTTTCACCTATTAGAGGCTCTGGGCACATTAGGATAATATGGCCATAGTAATAAAGTACTATTTTGTTAGAATATACAAAGTCATTTTTGAACATTACTCATTGTATATTGGGATGGCCTACCTTCAAAACAAATCAGGCAAAAATAATTTTAAAACTCATTACGAATAAATTGACCATAGTCGGTAAGCATTTGTTAAGACTGATTTTCAGGTGAGAGTAGTGGAGTAGGGAAGAGTCTAGACAGGGGGTTCATATTCATCATTTTTTTATTGGGTTGTTTGGGCTATTGTCAGGTGTTTGTAGCACCTGTAGCACTGCGACCTACATAGATCTATTGTGCTCGCCCTTTTTCAGAGTTCGCTACCTAGACCCGTCAGGGACAAGAATTGAAGGATATTCGTGAACGGGTGCTGCTTGTAGGGACTGGTCTGCTCTAATCACTATGACTGATTTCCTCTTATTAATTGTTTAACCAGTTGGTTGTATATTCAATATTTTTTCTATTTGAGTATTTAATTGAATTAGTGCTAATTGGTAGTTTTTAAGTTGTATTCACACACTTAAACTTTAAAATGTAAAGTAACAATAAAATTATTTAAAAGAGCAACACGCAAGTTTCTTGCTCGTTCTTCTTGTGATGAGACAGCTTTCCGAACGAGCGGTAGATTAAAAAATGTAATAACTATTCAAAAGTGCTTCAATGTAAGTTTATTTGAATAAATGATTTTCTATTCTTTTCTATTCTATTCTCAGGAGCGATGGTTTTTATCTCCTCGGGAAGGAGTAAACTTTCCAAAGGAGATATTTCGTTTATGCAGGACTGGGCTATAACCACATAGGATGTGCTGTAGCGTTTCTTCTTCAGTTTGGCAAAATTTGTAGATTTTTAAGTATGCAAGAGTGGAACATAGACAATGTAGCATAATATCTATGATTATTGTAGGAGCAGGGGGGTTGAAGTGTAAATGTTGTAAGTGGTGACCTGCGGCGGCGGCGGCGGCTGCAGGGCGGCGTGCGAGGCGGCGCGGGAGTCCCACCAGCGCAGGAACTGAACCCCGAACGCTCCGTACTGCACCACGCGCAGCACCGCGCCGCCCACCATCGGGAACGTCACCGCCGCGCTCCTGTACACATCGCTTCACTCTCACTGTCTCTCATACAACTACTCTCCTACCACACACCGCACGGTCGCCGACAATGAGCACCGAGGAGACATATCCGACGTACGCCACGACGTCGGTCGAGGCATGTCCTTATTGATCCCGACGACACCATAACGGTAGTTAACCTCCCCAAGGATGTGGACTCGTGGACACGTTCCATCCGAGCACACATTTAGACACACACGACACCGTCCTCGCCGGCGAATACGACGACCTCAAACACACTATACCGCGCAATCAACTGGGTGCTCCACACCGGTGCCCCCGATCGCCCCTCCGATCGATTCCCGTCCGATTCAAACGGGAATCGATATTACGATGGCCTGAGCCGAGGTTCGAACCCCTAGCGGTGTCCTCAGACTAAAGTTGTATCCGTGAGGCGTGAGTTGGTCTTCAGCCGCTCCATAAGTCCTTCCTTTGGTTTGGAGTGCCATCTGCACTCGCCCCCTATCCTCCGGTGAAGCTGTAAAGACCAGCTGCGGCCAACAGCATTAGAGTAGTAAAAAAGTCGACAATGACAACGCTTCTCGCCTACCCCATCCGGGATCACAGTCGTAACGGTAGTTCTGTAGGTGTTTGCAATAATTCAAACCAACCTCTCACTCTATTTGTAAAGTTTACTACTGCACATACTCCATGCAATTAATTAAACCTCGACTTACATCCAAAAGGCAGTGAATTCAAATTCGGTCAACACGAAAAAAATCAAAATGTGTCAAATGTTGTCTAAATATTTAATCATTCATCTGCTTCTTCCTTATCACATTTATTTGTGGTCGGCGTAATATGTTTTGTCTTCCATTCATCCCTGTTCGAAATCATCTCGTTATTTACTCCCTTTCTTACCATATCATCATTCACACAGTCCATACATCATTCTTTCTTATAATAATTTAAAACAACTCACCCTATTTGCCCCGTGAAGAGGTTCTTGAAGAACTCCCCCCAGGTGGAGTCGTCTTTCTCCATGAGGGGCGCGTCCCGCAGCGAGAGCCCGAGCAGCGCCAGCTCCGGGGAGTGTGTCCTGGCGGAGCCCGTCAGGTACCTGGCTGCCTGCACCAGCTTCGCTGACTCCGCCACGAAGTGAACGACTGCGTATATTTTTATAGCTGCCTTGCGGGCGCGGTCTGCATTACTCTGAAATTAATTATATCAAAATCAAAATTCATGTAGGACATTTTAGCAGCTTATGAATGTAACTTTTTTTGTAGTTATATATTTTTCTCTACCGTTCAGTTCAGTATATAGATTCAATTGAGATGAACTATTTTATAGTACGAGAGCTGCCCATCGAGTGTTTGCTGAAAACCAAATTTTTACACATATTTATCATTAGGAGAATTTATATCTACCAGGTTGCCTATCAAAATGTGGCCGCTAGTATTTTTAATTAAATTATTAAATTCATAATCCGTAAGAAATTTCATTGACTTGTTTTTCAGTAAAATGTACTTTAAACATCTATAAAGACTGTTCATGGTTGCCGTTGCGCACCTGGCCGCACATTTTGTACAAGCTGATTTTATTACATTTATACACCCACAACGTACATTCATAATTTATATATCAAATTAAAGCTAATTTATTATTTTGAAAAGAAAGACGTTTCTTTTGGAGTATTTATTATTTTGAGGCGTTACTATTGTTTGAATCTAGAACACTAGCTCTGACGCATGCGCAATGGCTTTAAACTGTCCGACAGCTGGCAATCGCTATCCTCGTTTGACTAGTGGTGTTACGCGCTAGCTCTCTTTCACTCTACTTTTAATATTTACTATATTTAATAGCCAGCAACCCTTATTTGCGGCCAGATTTAATTAGGCAACCGTATATGATAATAAACAGAAAAAAATTAGCTTTAATTTGATATATAAATTATGAATGTACGTTGTGGGTGTATAAATGTAATAAAATCATACCTGTGTACACCTGGCTGCGAAGAGGTGCGGCCAGGTGCGCAACGGCAACCATGATTTTTCACTCTTTATAGATGTTGCCGTAAAGTGAACGACATTTTACTGAAAAAACAAGTCAATGAAATTTCTTACGGATTATGAATTATTAATAATTTAATTAAAAATACTAGCGGCCACATTTTGATAGGCAACCTGGTAGATATAAATTCTCCTAATGATAAATATGTGTAAAAATTTGGTTTTCAGCAAACACTCGATGGGTACACTGATTCTGCAGCGGGATCTCGGACTATTAAGTGAATTTCTTTTTTTAAAAAGCCAGTTAAATTACTTGTTTAATAAATAAATAAATAAATATAGTTATCTCACCTTACCCAGCCTCCCATCTTCATTGTCCTCCCTCCACCTGTCTATGACCTTCTCAACCTTGTCCTTAAGGTATGGTACCAGCACTAATAAGGCCACAGAGCCGTACTCCAGTAACTCTGGTAACCGAGGGTTGCCCTGGTTGAACTCCATGCTCACTGCCATAGGAACACGTAGAAGACCATAGAAGCTCTCAGAGAATGATGCAGCTGGAATTTAACCATGTTTATCATTAGAACATATATTATAGAGAGACATCTATAATATTATATCTTTACATAGTATAAAATAAAATCATGATTAGGGAAAAAATACAAGACAAAAGATATTACAGAGTGGTACCCAAGAGGACACGAAAGTAGCAGACGCAGACAGACCAAAAGATGGGAAGATGACATTAGGAAGGTAGCAGGGAAAGTTTGGACTCAGAGTGCAAGGGACCGAACCCTATGGAAATAATTAGAGGAGGCCTATGTCACATGATAGACTGTTGACATTCAGATGTAGAGAAAAAAAAGAAATAAATAATGAACATAGACTAACAGGACCACAATTACTGCCTAAACACATTTATAAATTTGTCAAGTTAACAGTAAATAAGGGCATTTATTATTATTATATAAAATAAAGTCACTTCCACTGTCTGTTCACATAGATCTTTTCAACAATGCAACAGATTTTAGTGTAGTTTATACCAATAGATAGTGATTTGATAGGAAGCTTTATATGTACAATATATGTACACCCACACTGTGGCGAGTAGCTAGTACTTGATATAAGGAAAATATACTCTGGATGAACTACACCGACTTTGTAGTCTTTCATTGTTTTTAAAGGTATATTATACTCAAGTTATATAGTTTATATATAATTGTAATATATACAGAACAAGCATACTCTCCTCCAAAGCAATGGTGAATTAGACATAAAGCATAGAATTAACGCAGGATGCATGAAGTGGCGGCAGGTTACGGCAACGACGTGTGACTCGCGTGTTCCCCTTAAGCTTAAGGGGAAAATTTACAAGACCATGATCCGGCCTGCTGTCTTGTATGGATCAGAGTGCTGGCCCGTAAAGGCGACGGATGAAAGACGACTGCATGCAACTGAAATGAGAATTATATAGACAAGAATGGATAAGATAAAGAATGAATACATTAATATAATTGTCAGAGAGGTATATATCAGAACATGTAATGCGTAGCATATATTTAAAGAAAGGTGTTACATATGAATGTGGATGGTTATAAGGGCAGAGGAAGGCAAAAAGAGATGGATGGAGGTGACTACTATTATTATTATTATTTTCAAATATAAGTTAGTCCTTAAGGCAAATATAATATGGACCAATTTTGTTATACAAATAATATTAAGTTGCCTGAAATAAATAAAAAATTATACAATAAAAATTACTCACCATAATGTTTCAGATAGTGGTACTGCAAACAGCAATCAAACAGCAGGTAAAGCTCATCATACCACGGCTTGCACCATCCAAATTTATCTGGATAAGCTTCTGCTGCATACTGAAATATGAAATAGGTATCTCTGAACTATTATTAACTATGTTGAGGGGTTTATAATTTGTTCTGTATGGGATAAGGTTTTTCTTATTGGGGGATGATAATGAAATGGTGCACCCGCCTGCGCTAACGGTTTAGCAGACTAGTGGAGTATGATAAGATGAGCATGAGATCAGTTCAGTTGGCCCATCATGGAGGTTTCCAGGAGGAACAGTGTGGAGGTCCGCCTAACCTGGTACATTGCTAGCAATGGGTGTTACTAGTTCCCATTACTAAAAATAAAATAAATTGTATAATGTTTTGAGTAAGGAAATATAGGTGTATGTCTGTTCTGTAGTGTATATTTCTAACTAACAGGACTCCACTGGTGGCCGGCCAGTCATATACCGTTAGCGAAGGCAGGTGGACAGATTCATAATGATTTATTTAAAAAAAAATATACTTTGAACTTTTAACACATAAATGATGACCTACGGACTCTATAGAAAAACAATAATAGAATTGCATGTTGTAACTCAACAGTACCTGTTTTTAAGGTGAATATTGTTCTTTAGAGTAGAATATCTAGTAAGAAGATGGTATACCTCGACTAGCTTCCTCATTGCAGGCTTTACGGTGGTGCCAAGGGCCTCCTGGGCAGTCACTTGAAATATAGACGGAGTGCCCTGAAGAGTGCGCGTTAAATGCGCCGCGTAAACCGCCATGGTGTTTTAAGAACGCCAGATTAAAATTCAGTTAATATTAGTAGCAATAAAATTGTAATAATTAGTTTTTAGTACTCCGATAACATGTTTATTTACGTCTGATTCTTGACTGAAGTGAGTGACATAAAGTGAGAAACGGTAACTGTCAATCTGCGCTCAGTCACAACTGTCAATCAATTGGTAGATCGATCATCGATTTTTCGGCCTTGGCACACTGAGATTGTGTAACAAGGCCGAAGAATTTGTTCAACCAAGATTTTTTTCATCCTATGTTTTTTATTTTATGGATGATAATGGAATGGTACAGCCGCTATGTTAACGGTTTATGCTGGCGAGGCATCAGTGGAGGATGACAAGATGAAAATTGGGTCAGTTAGTCCAAATTCACCAGGAATTTATCACGATGGTTTCCAGGGGGAACCGCGTGGAGGTCTACCTGAATTGGTACATTGCTAGCAATAGGGCATCAATCCAAATCTCCTTTTCCCCCTTCATCCGATGTTTGCGAATTCGATTCCTAATCTGCGCAATTGAAATATTTATATTGATCTTTATTTTACTGTTACTGCTCTGGATTTACCTGCAAATATTATGAGCGTCTTAAATGCCTTAATTGTTTGATATAACACCATACAACATACTAAAAACTAGATATCGAATATAGCTTATCATTTGATGCAGATTATGACCAATCTGCATAAAACATTAAAAATTAATTTATAGGTACCTTATTCAGACTTTATTTTTGCTTTTTATACTATATCTAGGTAGTAGTAGAATGTTCTGCTTGCTGGAAGCAAAGGTCTTTAATCTTTTCCATTGTTCTGTCTTGTGTGATTCTGGTACATATCTTCCCTGCTGTTCTATTTCATCCTGCCATCTTCTATTTGGTCATCCTTTTTCTCTATGTACTATCTCTATTGCCTATAATGTGGTGGACATTATAGGTAATTTGTACTTATATTCAGACAAAAGTTGTATAGTTTTTATTGACTATCAGTCTAGGTTCTTGTTCTTATTTCTCGCCTGAGTCTGCACATAAAATGTGACAGAGGAAACCGAAAAAGATTAAATTTATTTCAATAAATAAATTATATACAGAGACGACCTCCGGTGGTCTAGCGGTCTAGCACACCGCTTTACGTCCGATGGTCGCGGGTCCGATTCCTCGCACGGCACAAACATTGTATTCATGAGTATGATTGTTTGTATCGGTCTGGGTGTTTTCTATGTATATTATGTATGTATTTACGAAAAAAAATTATCTATGTATTTGTATCAGTTATCTAGTATCCGTAATACAAACTTTAGCTAGCTTAACTTGGGTCTAGATGGCTGTTGTGTTAATTGTCCTGAGATTATTATTATTATTAATATTATATATAATAATAGTCAAACAACAGATATTTGTATTCTGTATTTTGACTAGATGATGCTATCGACTAATTGATAGTAGCGATTTTGCAATTTTTCGGTAATGAATTACTTTTAAGTCTTTCAATCTGCTACTAGTCCGATTCTTATTTTCGTCAATTTTAAAAAGGTATAATGTTAAAAATTAATAAAAACACTTAAAATATTGACTGAAGTTTATATTTCAAAATATCTGGCTTCGAAGAAATGTTATATACAAAGATTATGAGATTAAGTAGCTGTAACTTAACAATAAAGAGCTGAATATAATAAAATGTACATAATGCCTTGTGTTTCAGACGTCCATAGAATATGGTCACCGTTTACCATCAGATGGTAAGCTTATTTGCCACTATCGTTGTATAAAACATTTTATAGTAAATATAGAAAATACTAAAATATTCTCGATTATAGTAGAACAAACAATAAGTACTTGATAAAAACAAATGCACTCGAAATCAGAACCAAAAATTTACAGAAAAAAAAAATTATCTACTTATATTTAATAGCTTTGTCTTAATTACAAAAATGGGTCTATTTTAAGATTTACAGATTTGTAGTAGCCATTTTAGACTTTTATATAAAAATATTAGTGGATTCTGCGAAGATAGAGTGTTACATTGCAGTCTAATTCAATTTATATTTGATTTGATTGATTTTACAATAGAAATACTTATGAATTGCGCATAAAGCAAATTACAAGCATGGGAAATTGTTAAATTGAGCAACTGATTCATAACAATTGTCTTCATACATGTTAAAACTACGCAAGGAAATACTAATCTAAATATATGTAACTCAAAGGTGACTGACTGACATAGTGATCTATCAACGCACAGCCCAAATCACTGGACGGATCGGGCTGAAATTTGGCATGCAGGTAGATGTTATGACGTAGGCATCCGCTAAAAAAGGATTTTGATCAATTCTACCCCCAAGGGGATAAAATAGGGGATGAAAGTATGTATGAAACTTTGTCAATTTTAAACTGAGAATTTTAAACTCAGCCCGATGGCTGAGACTTTACATGAATAAAGCTACTATGACGTAGGCATCCCCTAAGAAAGGATTTTGATAAATTCCACCCCTAAGATAGGGGTGGAATTTATATATAGGATAAATTAACGCGAGCGAATAGTTATTATTATATAAGGCACTAATATAATCACAAAATAACATTGCCAGGAAACTTATCCAATTCACTACACAAGTAATCATGAATAAGATAAAATCGCTTCATTACATTAACTAAAATAGATTTTTGATAGAATACCTTTAAAGTTTCACTCCTTCATTTTATATTTTTGTTTTCGAGTCTTCTTTCGTGTTAATAATATTGTGTACAATTATTTAACATGAAAAACACTTCAACAAAGCTACTGATTGTACTACTCTAGTTGCCAAATTCCGGTCAAAATATATTTAAACAAAGGCTTATATATTCAATAATTACCTATATTTGAGTATTTAATTGAATTAGTGCTAATTGGTAGTTTGTATTCACACACTTAAACTTAAAAATGTAAAGAAAAAAAATAATAAAATTATTTAGAAGAGCAACACGCAAGTTTCTTGCTCGTTCTTCTTGTGATGAGACAGCTTTCTGAATGAGCGGTAGATTAAAAAAATGTGATGACTATTCAAAAGTACTTCAATGTAAGTTTATTTGAATAAATGATTTGTCTATTCTATACCAGCGATTGTGCATCCAATATATATATTTAATATATTTTGACCGAAATTTGGCAACTTATTCTAGTTGCCAAAGGAACTTGGCAACTGTAATAGCACAACTGGTCGCCTCGATCATGTGTTTTTTTCGAGTTAAACAATTGTATTATTAAGCAAACATAGTGTTTACTTTCTTGATTTCTTAAAACTTGCACTCTTTTAACTGATTTATGTATTGACTTTGGTCATTTAAGTTCTCTCGGTTTAGATTGCCAAAGAATATGTACAAAATTTATACAGACTAGGTTTTTTTTAATTGTAATAGCAAGTATTCTGGTTATGGTGAATAGATCCGTCTGTATGTTGTAGTGTTCACTACGAAACTTAATATAAGTATTTGGATAAATATTAAGTACAGGCAGTGTTACATCATCAGATTGATAAAAGGTATTTTACATATATAAAATCAATACCTTTAACAATAAAAGTTAATTTTATTTGCCACCCTGGTACACCTATATTCAGCAAGAAGCAATTGATTGGAACCATAACTAAAAATGAATATCGAATCACAAATAGCTCGTAGGACAGATGGTCGTTGGGGCAGTAAAGTCCTCGAGTAGCGACCGCGGACCGGAAGACGCAGAGTGGGAAGGCCTCCAGCAAGATGGACCGACGATCTGGTCAAGATCGCTGGAAGGCATTGGATGCGAGCAGCGCAGGATCGTCGTGGAGATCTTTGGGCGAGGCATTTGTTCAGCAGTGGACGTCTTCCAGGCTGCGATGATGATGATAACTAAAAATGTACTGTCTAAAGCCTTTTGTATGGACTTATTTGAATATACAATATATATTTTGAAATGAAATTCATTATTCTCTCTCCCAATTTTTACATTTACATGCACAGTTCTTGTAAAACACACTCGCACTTATAACTCCGTACATGGAGCGACTTGTAAACTATAAAGTTTGTGCCGCGTGGTCACATGCGCCGTTAGCTAGTGTTGCCCACTAGTGGGGTTCGTGGGACTAGCTGGCCGAGTTGTTGTACTGCGGCCGGCCGGCCAGCTCCAGCAGATAGCGGTCCGGGTGTTCGATCCAGTCGGCGGCTGATAACTTCACCTGAAATATTCAAATCAAATCAACACACAGCCGACTACTAGGTCTATTACAGACTCTTATGATATGGAAAGTCTACCGTCAGTTCAGAGTGCTTTCGAGTCAAGAACTGACAAGAAACTCAGCTCTTATTCCTTACAAATGAGTACAGGATTACAGAAATATTCATTTTTAAATTATTTGATTGCATTTCACGACGTTGACGACCTCGGTGGTCTAGCGGTCTAGCACACTGCTTTACATCCGATGGTCGCGGGTTCGATTCCTCGCACGGCATGAGTATGGTTGTTTGTGTCGGTCTGGGTATTGTCTATGTATAATATGTATGTATTTACGAAAAAAAAAAATTATATATGTATTTGTATCAGTTATCTAGTACCCATAACACAAGTTTTAGCTAGCTTATCTTGGGTCTAGATGGCGCTGTGTGAATTGTCCTGAGAGATTATTTCAATGTTAGTAATAATTATTAATATATACCTGTCGTTGTCTCTCGGCCTCTCGAACTTGCCATTTCTTAATTTCGAGTTGCGTCTCCCGCGACGCCTGGTCACCGCAGCCCCACACCTGACGAGAAAGTAACTTGTTTAACAAATTGTATAATACAACACTACTAAATAAGTGTTGATGTGACATATGTGACGAGATTGACAATTGTGACGAACGTGACGTCACGGTGTATTGATACAGCGAGCAGATATAGTATCTAACATGTAGAGCACGTCTTAAAAAATAGGTAGTAGATGTGAGACGAGTGTGACGAGTGTGGTAGCATATAGTGACACGGTGTATTGAGACAGCGTGGAGCTATATTGTCTAACATGTAGGATACATCGTAAAGAATAGGTATGATAAGTGTGATGAGTGTGGTGTACAGATATAACCATCTCGATGAAAAGTGGCTTCTATTCTTAACATCATACAGGGTGAGCCAAGGCTACAGACGTATCGGTAGTATATTGCGGTATTTCTCGAGGCCTCTGACAGACCGAAGAGAAACATCAACGAGTTATGGTGAAACGAATTTCACTTATTCCACTCCGTTCCTGCAGAGTGGCGGTCGCATCTATTAGGATTTCTTCTCGATAAAAAATGTCATACAAAAAGGTGAAGGTCATACAAAATGATGAAGTATATGTCGAGAGTGGCGAGTGTGATGACTGTGGTGAGTTTGAAAAGTATGGTGCGTGTGAGTATGGTGAGTGTGAGGAGTATGGTGAGTGTGAGGGGTATGGCGAGTGTGAAGATATGGCGAATGTAAAGACTGGCGAGTGTGAGGAGTATGGCAAATGTAAAGAAAGGCGAATGTGACGAGTATGGTGAGTGGTGATTGTGAGGAGTGTGGTGAGTGTGAGGAGTGTGGTGAGTGAGGAGTGTGGTAAGTGTGAAGTGTGGTAAGCGGGAGGAGTGTGGTGAGTGTGAGGAGTGTGGTGAGTGTGAGGAGTGTGGAGAGTGTCAGGAGTGTGAGGAGTGTGGTGAGTGTGAGGAGTGTGGTGAGTGTGAGAAGTGTGGTAAGCGGGAGGAGTGTGGTGAGTGTGAGGAGTGTGGTGAGTGTGAGGGATGTGGTGAGTGTGAGGAGTGTGGTGAATGTGAGGAGTGTGGTGAGTGTGAGGAGTGTGGTGAGTGTGAGGAGTGTGGTGAGTGTGAGGAGTGTGGCTGTGTGATGATTGTTGCTGATGTGGTGAGTGGAGTGCGTACCTCGACGGCGTCCAGCGTGTAGGGCACGCCCTGGAAGGTGAGGGCGTCGAACCCGTCGCGTACGTACCTCGACGGCGTCCAGCGTGTAGGGCACGCCCTGGAAGGTGAGGGCGTCGAACCCGTCGCGTACGTACCTCGACGGCGTCCAGCGTGTAGGGCACGCCCTGGAAGGTGAGGGCGTCGAACCCGTCGCGTACGTACCTCGACGGCGTCCAGCGTGTAGGGCACGCCCTGGAAGGTGAGGGCGTCGAACCCGTCGTCGACCGCCAGCAGCGGGCGGCGCGGGTCGCTGCCGGCGCGCAGCCCCAGCGGGTACCCGCGGATGGACGTGTTCAGGTACACCATCCGGGGGCCGCGCTCCAGCACCGAGAACCTACGGCAACGACGTGTTTATTTACAGCTGTTCCTCTGTTAAAATGTTCTTTTAGGAGTGGTGACTGGCGGGGAGCAAACTTTAGTACCCGGATTTGTTAAATTGATAACATTGGTATCCGTTCGTGATTCTGGTGACGGGAATTACTCCCGTCACCATTTTTGGCAGTTAGCTTCTAATGAGGAATTGGAACAGAGTCAGTGAGATCATCAGTAAGAAAAACTTTAGGATCTTGAATTGACGATAGTTTTAATTTGAGAAAATAAGGTGGAGAAATCCTCGAAGGTTAAATGTTAATTTTCTAAAATTGTAATCTTGTGATGCTTAGTTGCCTTTACGCTCCGTCCGTCAAAATATAATTTATTTGGTTTTATTCTGCATGACATAAAACGTTTTAGACAAATAATAGCACATTGAAATATAATGATTACGGCGGACATGACATATTCAGCTGAGCCGAAATAATAGAATAAAGGCACGGCAATGAAGATATTCAATAGAGCAGATCGGATTTTACAGTTGCAATTTGAAGAGAGACAGTGAAACTATAGGTTAAGTCGCAACGCCTTAATCGTCTGAAATAAAAAAAAAAGAATCACGTACGTGGGAAACAGCTGCATGAGCGCGCAGTCCGGGCCGCCCCAGTAGCGGTGCGTCTCGCGCCACTCGGAGTCGACGGCGAGCACCGCGAGCAGGTCGCCGGCGGCGAGCAGCGCCAGCGAGGGCCCGCGGTAGGCGAGCGAGTGGTGCAGGAAGCGGTTGGCGCCGGCGCCGTGGTCGCGCGACCGGTACAGCGGCACCCAGTGCGACGGCAGCGCGCACACCAGCCGCGCCAGCCACGCCGCCGACGGCAGCGCCGCCGCCGGCGCGCGCAGCGGCCGCGAGTACAGCGGCGGCGCCGCGCCCGCCACCAGCCACGCCGCCGCCAGCGGCAGCAGCGCGCCCGCCGCCGCCCACGCCGCCCACGCCGCGCGCTCCAGCACCGGCGTCGCCAGCTCCAGCCCCGCGCCGCTGCCGCTCGACTCCACGCGCGCCTCCATGTCGCGGTGCCGCGTCGCCAGCAGGTGCACGCAGTACCTGCCCGCACACCACCACTACGGACCCTGCTTCCGTGATCATCGCACACGATCCGGACTGTGTTCCATTTTGGATATGGCGACGACTCGTGGCCGTTGTCGACTTACATAAAAATCTAGGCGGCTTTAGAGATGACGAACGAGGCAATCACCGAAGACCTCGCTCTTGCAAAGGCTTTACGTAACCCAAGCAAATTTTAAACGACCAGTAAAGACCTACCGCTCGGAGCTACCACTGTCTAGTCACAAGAATAAAATATCTAAAAAATTGATTCAGGAGAAACACAAATCCATTCTTCCAAAGGACAAATTCCTTAGTTAGAATAATCCTGATATACGCTAACATCCAGATATCACTCAAATCATAAAAGAGAACCACATAACCATACAGCATGCCGACATATTTGAATAAACTTCTTGACAAACTGAAAATAAACGTGTCCAATCTTCTATTTGCTACTCTTTTTTACGACTTAGAACAGCAAACGAGCTGATAACTTCTTTAAGAAATATTTATAAAATATCACCGAGAACTTAATCATCCAAAATGATAAAAATACTATAACAAATATGTAATTTATTCATAAATGCAATTAAACTTTAATAAAAACACCTATAAAACATGCAATTTCATTCATGTCCATAACTCCAATTATAATAAACGTAGCTATATTATTAAACTCACAAGATTACACAGATTAAAACCATATATTACCTGTGGACGGGGAATATAAGTCTGTGACAATGTTCCTCGAGCCAGCGCACCACGAAGCCCACGCTATGCGACTCTTTATTGTTGAAGCAGCCATTCACCACCGCCGCTAGAGTCTTGTGAATCTAACACAAGAAAAAAGTATTACGACCAACGTCTAACGTTGGACTCATTTGACAAACCATCCAGAAATTACACAGATTTAATACTTTTTGACTAAAAACTGTAAAAATCCTTGAGACTCTAAGAAGATACTAACCATAAGACAGGTTTGTGGTCCTTCAGGATAATGGTCCATAGACAATTTGTAGCTAATGTACAGGAGTTTCTGAAGGCCATCCGGTGTCACCATGTTATCGTCCGTTTCGGCACCGAACATTCTAGATAATAGAGAAGATTCATATTTAAACCTATCTTAGATATTTTTAAAAAAATTGTATTTTTGTACATTCAATCTTGACTTTTGTCATACTTATATAAGGAAAAAGTATAATATACTAGCGACCCGCCTCGGCTTCACACGGAAACAAAACAAATCTTTGAATTTCTCGGCTTACTTACCTGACGTATGTCTCGATGATGACCGCATCGTCGAGGAGGCCGAGTATCTTCTCGCACTGCTGCCGGAACGTGGACAGCGGGATGTGTTGGCTCTTGCACTTGCCTACCCGGTGCACATACTTGTAGAACTGTCGCGCCAGCTCCGGATACATTGGGAACAAGTATTTCTGCACGACAAGGTATAAAGGATACAAAAAAATCTAGGAGAAATAACACAGCGCCATCTAGTTCCAAATTATGCTAAGCTTATCCCATTCGATCAATCACCGGTTCAATTAAAATGGGGATCGAAATCACGACGACTTGAGATGAGGTTCTAAACCATAGCGGTGCCCACAGACTGAGGTCGTATTCGTCAGGGAGGAGATGGCCTTCAGCCGCTTGGTAAGTTCGCGTTTTGGTGTAGAGTGCCATCTGCACTCGCCCCCTATCCTGCGATGAAGCTGTAAAGGCCAATAGAGGCTAACGGCATTAGAATAATTCGAAAAAAAGTACTAAGGATCCTGACAGAAATACTTAAATACATTTTATTGGATATTGGAAGTCGTGCGGAGTCAATATTGAAAGATGGTGGACCGCCTCGAAACAATCATACTCATGGATACAATTATTTGCACCATGAGTATGATTTTTTTGATACAATTATATATTGCGAGGAATCGAACATGCGACCACCGGAAGTATAGTTGTGTGCTAAACCGCTAGATCACCGAAGCCGGTAATAACTGGGCTCAGGATTTATACGGACCAGGAGTAACTTGACATTGAGAGTTTCAAGGCGTTTCTGGGCCGAATCCCCACCAATATGCTAACTACCTTCATGAAGGAGGACTACTGCCCGAAGGGAGTGATGTATCGGCGCTATCGTAGCAGATTGCCGTCTTCAGTGCCGTGAAATCAGTCTAAAAGATATTTATAATATGGGCCTAGTAGCCTGAAGTAAATAATTAAATGTATATTGATTACTCACAATAAACGAATTCTCCGTGACCCCGTTGACGCCATCTTCTTTCTGTGACCGTTGTACCAGCAGCTGAAACAGTTGAAGAAAGTCTTTTAATTATATAGCTTACTCATTCACAGTCAGGTAAGTTGTGGTCACTTCAAATCCAATCAAAAATCTTTCATTCATGCAGGACATTTTAGCAGCTTCTGAACGTCAAAGTTTTGTATTAATATTTTTTACCCTACCGTCCACTTCAGTATACAGATTCAATTGAGAAGAACTATAGAAATAGTAATAATCTTTATTCAAATAAACTCATTACAAGCACTTTTGAATAGTCATACTTTGATTCTACCACTCATTCGGAATGCAGATTCATCACAAGAAGAATGAGCGAGAAACTTGTGTGTTGCTCTTTTGAATAGATTTTTTAACTGGCAAGAAACTCAACTGTTTTTTTTGTTAACAGCCAGTTTCTTCGCATTGACAGATTCGACTGAGAAGAACTGGCTAGAATTTCAACTGATTTTTTTAATAGCCAGTTTCTTCGCGTTATGTACTTATGTAGGTGTCTACATCTAGTAGTATACGTTAATTGTCACTGATGTTATTGGACGGCAAGTGGTACCTGCCGTCTAATACATGAAGAGCACGGACATCACGTTATCATGTGACAGCCGTGATAAAAACTCACAAAGTTGAGCACCCGGGCGAAGCCAGGACGAGCCACTAATCTATACATTCATTCATTCATTCATAATTTAAGAGCTGTGCTCTTGTCGGTGGAGCTCCCGCCACCTTCCACGATCTTCCATCAGTCCTTTTAGCTGTTGATACGACACGACTCCAACTTTTTCTTTAACCTGCTTGATATAGCTGTCTCGGTCTTCCCCTTCCTCTCTTTCCATCTATTTTTCCTTCTATAATGTTGTTAATTAGTTCGTCGTCTCGTATCAAGTGCCCCAACACTTTTCCCAACATTTTTTTTTTAATCTATACATATAAATAAAATTGGAATGTCTGTAATATTGAAATAACCGTTTTTTACTACATGCATATAAATATAAATACGGTACATAAACCAAAATAACATTTTTTACAAATTTTGTCTGTCTGTTTGTTCCGGCTAATCTCTGAAATGGCTGGACCGATTTTGACGGGACTTTTATTGGCAGGTAGCTAATGTGATAAGGAGTAACTGAGGCTACTTTTATATTAGAAAAATAAAGTTAAATTCCACGCAGACAAAGTCGCGGGTACAGCTAGTTATTAATAAACAAATTTTAAAATTTTTATCGCAAATTTTCTATGAATATTTATTACATTATAAAATTTATGATATATACACTGGTAATTTTCCGAGGCAACGATTTCTAACAATTGGTAGTCTCTTATCAAATTTATCTCGGATGCCATAAAGCGAATCCTTTGATGAAATACTACTAGAGTTTACTGTTCAAACAGACAGTGATAAAATCGCAAAAGTCGCAATATCTTAGTGATTTTACTATTAAAAGTGGTAAATTTGATGCCACATTTTTGCAAATACATGAGTAAATTACAGTCTAACACCTCCGATGATGAAAACACCTATAAAAAATATTTGCTATTAGCATTTAGCCCGCCTAGATTTATGTATGTATGTATGTATGTGTATTATTATTATTATTTTATTATATTTATTATATACGAAGGTATCCGCTGAAAACCAGCGTCATGGCACCCCGTCACGACATATGCTGAACGGAGACCTATTTGGTACTGTAATTATTAATATAAAAATGTACATTAAAATTTTAAAATTATTTTCAGTGTACCAAATAAACAATTTCCTTCTTTCTATTGTACAAAATCAATAAAGTTTTAAATAAATAAAAAAATAAGTAGACAATAATAATGAATCTATATACTGTAATTGCAATGATATAGAAGTACCCATGGCAACAAACGACTTTCCATGGCAATAGTTGTTCATTTGATCTAATGTTAGACACAGACACCCTATATACATAGCACCGTGTGTATATTTACACGAACCATTTGGAGCCACTTTTGACCCCCTCATAACTCAAAAACTCTTTCACACAAACCTGTCAAATTTGGTTCATATATTGAGACTTGCGAGATAAATATGTGTTCCAAATTTCATAAACATATCTCAAACGGTTATTTAGATATTAATATCCAAAAATCGTCATTTTTATCACTGATCAACTATAGATCAAAATTATAACACACTTCCAGATGACCTAGGAAGTTCAAATTTGGCATGCAGATAGGTAATTAGGTGAATATAAAGGAAAAAATCTGAAACTGGTAAATTGTTATCATTTTACTACAATTTTTCACTTTAATTGATTATATTTCAACTTATACTGGACGAATACTAAAATTCTATGAAAACGTCGATACCACCAATTGACATTGATCCGTTGATGACATTGATAGTTTTCATATACGAAATATACTGTAGCCTTCGCAAGTTCTAAACATGTTACTTGTCGGTTCCTTAGTTAGAACTTAGGCTACAGTATATTATCCTAAGTTATAAGATGAAATGATATTTTATATTGTTATAAATACATTTCAGGACAGACCATTGAACTTGGCACCCATTTAGATCTCATCTCTTTTGTCGTAGAAGTCAACAATCAAGGCATATATCATAATATTAAACTCGGCTATCATTTCACATTTATGTTTTTGATGGGATTATTATTACTGTTTACATAACGTTTGCTGTATGTATGTATGTGTGGATTATGACGCGCGTGATCCATCATTCGCTAATCTATACGTATCTACACAGTTAATGACCCGTGTCTGTTTGATTTAATGATAATACAAATATTTAAGCAGAAGATTACAAATTTATATACGACGCCCTCGCGGTCTAGCGGTTTAGCACACCTTACTTCCGAAGTCGCGGGTTCGATTCCTTGCACGGTGCAAACATTTGTATTCATGAGTACGATTGTTTGTATTGGTCTGGGTGTTTTCTATGTATATGTAATTTCCACAAAACATATATCTATGTATTTGTATCAGTTATCTAGTAACCATAACACAAGCTTTAGCTAGCTTAACTTGGGACTAGATGGCGCTGTGTGAACTGTCCTGAGATTATTATTATTATTAACACATTAAGTGTATAACTTTTATACCCGTGTGTTTTATCAACTTACACAACTCTATCTAGTCGCAAATGAGATATATTTTTTTTCGAAAATACATACTTATAGGAAACACCGAGACCGATACAAACATACCCATAAATACGATGTTCGTGCCATGCGAGAAATCGAACCCGCGACCGTCGGAAGTAAGGTTGTGTGCTAAACTGCTAGACTACCGAGGCCGTCAGTTGTTTTTAGTAGATGATATTGGGTGGTACACCCGCCGGCGCTAACGGTTTACGCTGGAGGGGCACCAGTGGAGGATAAGGTCAGATCAGTTAACCCATCGTGACAAATTTACCGGGAATTTAGCACGATGGGTTCCAAGGGGAGTTGGGGATGGTTTCCGTGGAGATCAACTTGATGGTACATTGCTAGCAATAGGATTAGGCCACATTACTAACAATCCACTTAAAACTCCTAAGCCGTCAAAGTCTGAAATAATTCTGAGTTAATTGTTATTAAAAATCACCTTGCAAGTGGGCGATGCAGACTTCCTCTTTTTAATTCTGCTAACTTGGATTCCCACGATGGAGAAACGTAGATTCTTCGTCGTCGGCAAAGCTGGTATCCATCTCTCAATTTTGGCTAGTTCCATCTCAATGTAGTTGTACGTGGCTTGTTTTTAGATATCCCTTTTTATCTCCAATAGAATAAAACGGTTTCTCAATTAGTGGTACGCGTACCCATCAAGTTGCATCAAGGAGATCGTGCGGCTATCATACATACACATACACTCACAAACTATATCACATTCATAATATTGGTGTTATTGCTACAGTAAGGGGTACGCAAAGTTTGATGTTTTTTTTGAAGTGACACGCAGCAATAATACGCAGAATAAAGATTTTTATCTATCTATCTATCAATAACTATTTGGGAACCTGTACTGCTGTATTTTTCCCCTTTTTTCGCTTACTTTTGCAAAGATCACATTTACGAGACTTGTGATTAGGAATCCTTTTGATAACAAAGTACCTATTTTTTGTCTTGCTCCTTCTCAGCTTACTTCAAATATCGCAACAAATTTTCGTACGATTTTTACATTAATCTAGACAATAACTTCCAGGTTTTTTTAAATTAACCTTCAACCAAACTACCTTCGGCATAAACACTGTGCTAAACCATTTTATATTACAATTTTAACACTTCACTAGTCCCGGCAAACGTTGTTTTGCCTTAAAATAAGAAATAAAAATTTAGGGGTGGACTACCCCTAACATTTAGGGGGATGAAAAATAGATGTTAGCCGATTCTCAGACCTACTCAATACGCTCACAAAATTTCATGAGAATCGGTCAAGCCGTTTCGGCGGAGTATGGGAACGAAAACTGTGACACGAGAATTTTATATATAAGATAATACATTAAATATGCACTTGAAATAAATTCAAGGCAATATTCACTTTATTACACAGTATAATATAAAGTCGCTGTCGCTGTCTGTCCGTCCCTATGTATGCTTAAATCTTTAAAACTACGCGACGGATTTTGAAGCGGTTTTTTTTAATAGATAGAGTGTTTCAAGGGGAAGGTGTAGTGTATAATACATGAACACCCGAGCGAAGCCGTGGCGAGTAGCTAGTTGCTGATAAAAATGGCGCGTAACTGTTATTCGTAACTGAAGTTAACATTGAACACTTATAGTATACGTAGAACACTAACAAGAGTATGAAACAGATTATAAAGTATTTAACCGACTGCGTATTAAATTATTGTATTAACGAGAGTGTAATTTTTTCTGAGATTACAAAACCAATGTCCGCACTTTTTTTTACTAAACAAGTTTCACTTTAGGTAGAGTAATCTAAACACAACTTTAACAACACAGATTCTGTTTAACCGACTGCGTATTATATTATGTATTAACGAGAGTGTAATTTTTTCTGAGGTTACAAAACCAATGTCCGCACTTTTTTTACTAAACAAGTTTCACTTTAGGTAGAGTTATATAAACACAATTTTATAAACACTAAATTCGTTTCAGCACACATTTATTATGGAATATATTACATTTATGATAGTTACGAAATATATATATACTTTTTTTTTCTTAAGTACTGATTGACTTTACAAATAGATCGATTGTGTTTGACCAGTAAATATCGAGTGAATGATAATGGTTGCAATGGTTGAATCGAATCAATATTATCTACGTTGATTTCTGATAAGATCCGTTCGTAAATATTATATAGGTCTAGGTAAGTAAACATACCGATATTGTAGACCGAGAGCTCGTAAAATTTGGGAACAACCTGTCTTTCTATACGGCAAGAATTTTATTTGCAAATTGTCATGAAATAGAAATAATCTTTATTCAAATAAACTTAATATAAGCACTTTTGAAAAGACCTACTTTTTTATTCTACCACTCATTTGGAACGCAGACTCATCACAAGAAGAACGAGCAAGAAACTTGTGTATTGCTCTGTTCAGGTTGTACCGAGAAGTAAATAAGTATATTTGATTCCTTAAAGCACTTTCGCAAAGACTCCCTGGAACCCAAACCGTAAATTGAGCATATGGCCTTTTTTTTCTGCACACACACTACGTTATCATCATCTGCTTCTTCCTTATCCCATTTATTTGTGGTCGGCGTAATATGTTTTTCGCTTCCATTCATCCCTGTTATTTACTTCCTTTCTTACCATATCATCTTTCACACAGTCCATCCATCTCTTTTTCGGCCTTCCTCTGCCCTTATAACCATCCACATTCATATGTAACACACACACTACGTTACTCATACAGTTTTTTTGTCATCTGTATTGCATTTTATTTTATCTATATATTTGTTGTGTATTGTATTTTGTTTGACTTCACTAATGTAATGTGTATATCTGTTTTTATTTTTGTTCTTATTATTAGAGTGCCTTGTGTGTATGTGTGACTGTAACGTGAATACAATTTTTATTTATCTATCTATCATATGTTAGGTGCTCGGCTGACTTTAATGAAATAATTTAACAATATCAAATATATTTATATTATTATACAAGCTCTCTTTTCATTATCGAAGACATTCTTAACGGTCGCCGGCAAGCAGACCGTTCACTTCCTCTCTAAACACTATAGAATAGAATAGATTAGAAAATCATTTATTCAAATAAACTTAATTTAAGCACTTTTGAATAGTCATAACAATTTGTTTTTTATCTACCACTCGTTCGGAAAGCTGTCTCATCACAAGAAGAACGAGCAAGAAACTTGTGTGTTGCTCTTTTAAATAATCCTTGTAAGTTTACATTTACAAGTCGAAACGTGTGAATACAAACTACCAACAAGCACTAATTTTTGGGTCAAATATAAATATGCAATAAGATTAAATCAGTCGTAGTGATAAGAGCAGACCAGTCCCTACAAGCAGCACTCGTTTCACGAGTATGACGGATGAGCCAGCCATCACTGCGCTCGACCATATTTTAGGGAGCCCAATGACCCGGCCCACCACGCCGCCACATGTCTGGACATTTTAGTGAGCATGACTGGTATGTAATATATATGGTAGTTACAGTATTCGCACGTTACATAAGGATGCATGCGGCAATCAATATAAAAGCCGCTACGCTATCATATATCAAGAAAGCAGTATGAAAATTAAAATTATAACGTTGTCCGCAAATAAACTTATTCTTGCTATATATTGCTATCATCTATAAATTCATCTATTTTATAATAGGCTTTTTTACATAACATTTGTTCAATATAAGATTTGAATTGCTTCTCTGTAAGATTTAGCGTAGACTCTGGCAGTTTATTATAGAATCTTACGCAATTACTATGTATTGCTACATACAAATCCGTTGCGTAGTGTAAAAGACTAGCGTACAGACAGCAGAAACGACTTCGTTTTATACTATATAAAGATTATCAGCATGAATCATGAATATAAAAATTTCAGAATTTAGCTTTACAGAAAGGTTATATATAAAAAGTTCACGAGCTCTTGGACTATTTGAAATGGGTAGGTACGTAGCGAGAATTTTTAATTACATTCGTCTAAAGTAATAAGCTGATTGATATGTTAAATCGCGCAGAATAAATGCTACAATGATATAATCTGGTCACAATGATCACTCTATTATCCCAAATTTAAATTTAAATGAATCTGTATTATTGTAAACATGTGTAACATTTATTTAAAAAGAATTTCTGAGTTTCTTGTCAGTTCTTCTCATCTCGAAATCATTCCGAACTGACGGTAGATTTGACATATCATAAGAGTCTGTAATAGACCTACATGAATAAAGATATTTTGAATTTGTAATTCGAATCTGTGGATACAGAGACAAAAAATCTTATATATAAAATTCTCGTGTCACAGTTTTCGTTCCCATACTCCTCCGAAACGGCTTGACCGATTCTCATGAAATTTTGTGAGCATATTGAGTAGGTCTGAGAATCGGCCAACATCTATTTTTCATCCCCCTAAATGTTAGGGGTAGTTCACCCCTAAATTTTTATTTTTTATTTTAAGGCAAAACAACGTTTGCCGGGACAGCTAGTATATATATATAAATGCATCTCCATTGCTGCTATCACAGTTGGTACAGCCAGAGGTTTCTATTGTCAACTATCGACGTCGTGGTAGCGATGGTTATCACCTCACCACTTTATCATGTGATGAGGCGTCGCTCCATAATTTATTGTTTATAGTAGAGTCTAGGTAGTGAGTATACAGGTGTAATAATTATACTATTACTCACTAAATGATTACTTGAATGACGCGCGTGCATGGCAATAGTTGTTCATGCACGGGATTTTCATTGAATGTTAGACATAGACACCTATATAAATATACAATGTAAAGAAACTACCGTTTAAAAAAATTTTTTATAATAATCTCAGGATAATTAACACAGCGCCATCTAGACCCAAGTTAAGCTAGCTAAAGCTTGTGTTATGGGTACTAGATAACTAAATACAAATACGTAGATTTTTTTATATTATATATATATATATAGAAAACACCCAGACCGATACAAACAATTATACACATGAATACAAATGTTTCTGTCGTGCGAGGAATCGAACCCGCGACCATCGGACGTAACGCGGTGTACGTATGTAACGTAACCACTTGCGAATTGGCAGAGATCGATCCATTCCCCTTCGAGAAACTGTCGTATTCCATCAGTATAAACAAAAAAATATTAAGGAAAAATGATCTGCAAATACAAGCGGCTTTGAAATTCCTTAACAGTTATATGGAAAAGTACAGCATACCAAAGTGGTGACCTTACATCATACCATATTGATTCACGAACACTGTCCATATTGTATAAATCATTATTCACCTTTAAAAAACTATACAAGAATTATCTATGTACTATTTAACCTATAAATCTTACGGCAAAGTAGTTGTATATATATGTTTAATGTTTATATTTATTCATGTTATTTTATTCTATTTTGTTCTTTCTACTATATGTATTGGTTTGTATTTATTAGTTGTAATTTTGTTTTAATTACTATCATTAATATTTTAAAAAGTGCTCTCTCTCTCTCTCTCCCTTTTATATATATATTTTTGGTGCCACTGAAAACCAGCTGTATGTTCACCTAGGACATACATTAAAGCTGAGTGGAGCCATTTCAGTGCATTTTTGGATGTAAAAAATGATTATTTTTAATTATGGTAAATTAAGTATAATTATATGTACATTTTATTTGCTCTTTTTTTTTCGTTTGTTGTTTATATTGTATTTTTTACATTGCACTGAATAAAATATTTTTCTTTCATTCTTTCTTTCGTTAAATCAAGACCAATTAATTAAATTATGGTTTCGTTTTTTCTTTTATAACACAGGGGTTATATGAGCATGCGGCTCACCTGATTATTACTGTCGCTGCCATTAATAATGTTTTCATAGAAAAACTTAAAATCCATAGCACTGACAATATTATCTGATTACACTAATAATTAGTGCGTAGCGATTTCTATGTTGATTATTGCATGCCTCTTACTTGTTATACTGTAATTATTTATATAAAAAAAAAACTATTAAAAAGAGCAACACACAAGTTTCTTGCTCATTCTTCTTGTGATGAATCTGCATTCCGAATGAGTGGTAGAATCAAAATATGACTATTCAAAAGTGCTTGTAATGAGTTTATTTGAATAAAGATTACTTCTATTTCTAGAATAGGACAGTAATAAGTACGATAATGTAATACATTACATTATACAGAACACATAAATATTTGAAATTAGAAGCTATTTGTAAAATCTATTAGACACTCAATGTGTCTAATAGATTTTACAAATAGCTTCTTCTTCAATCTTTTAGAAGAAAAAGTGTAATCCATCACATTTAAAATAAGTAATCATGTTGCTAAGTTTATATGTAACGTGCAACTGACTCAGATTGAGAATAAATTATATTTGCTGCTGTATATAATCCACCGAATAACTCCATCTAAATCTACTACAACTCAAATTTTCGACACAACATAATCTTGTTAATTAATACAAATATTAACGACCAAGGTTACGTTCAGGGTTGCTATATTTCCTTATGTTTGTTTTGATGTCAGCAATAGAGAAATAACGTTAAAATATGTATATATATCACGTTGTGCAGCGGTACTCACCTTGCCCAGATTTTCTACTGGAACCATAGACAGTAGTGGCTTCTCCTGCAGACCCTGGAGGTCACCGCCGGAGCCTGAGCGAGATGTGGAACCCCTTTGTGATCCTCCTCGCGGAGTACTCGATTCACTCCCATCCTGTACACCTGCCTTCTCGTGGCTTTGATGGCTTCCCATTATTCACAATTCAAATTCGATTTACGTAATTAATCACTAAATACTTAATATTATGAGATTTTACACATAACGTATGGTTATAAACGAATGTATTTTGTCTTTTCTTTTTCTACAGTAGTTCGACACGGCAAGAAACGTCAGTCAGTGTCAGTTCTGCAGTTCAAGCCTGTCAGTCAGACGATTTTTTTATTAATATGTTTTAAGGCTCTGGATATAAGTCATTTTTAGCCGAACTTAAAGTTTTACAATATAAATTACAAAAATTGAATGTCCAATGTCAAATAATCATAAATGTAGTAAACTGTGTTGCCAACCCATTATCATGATTTTGGAATAAATCGAAACGGTTTAATTTCACAAATTATATAGAGATACTTCGCATGTGTGGCGAATTAATTATAATCGCGCGGCAACACCGTTGCCTAGTTACGACAGAAGAATAAAATAACAGGCCTGTCAATTCGAGACCGAATCACTTTCTTGTACATACCTATATATTCATTGTAAATATTTCTATATTATAAATATGTACATAGCAACAATCTGGACTCATCATTTTACCTCCTTCTTTCCCGCTGCTGCTACAAGAACACTACATAAACACAAATAATAGCGGTAACAATAAAGACGCTAAATTGGTGACCCACGACGTTCCAGCACAGCAGCCACAGTAAAGCGTGAACCCACTCCAGTCCAGGTGCCATCTTTCCTTCATTCCTTATTCATACCGCCAACCAGACGTAATCCATTCAAGTTCATCACCGATGACCACACCGTCACTATTGACTGACCGTTCCTGTATATACCGTCGCAGTACCCACCGTCGCCTACAAAGGAACTACGACACGGGCCAGTACGACGCAGTCAATACACTACGAGTTGGACTTCGATTCCCGGATGGACAACATTTTCAGTTACTCATTGTGTAAATTTGTATATTTTTCTATTTGTAAATTTTGATTTATTTTTCGTCTCGCAATGATCAATTCGGCACATTCAACGTAACCACATCATCTGCCCCGGAGGTACCTAAATATTTTATTTTTTAATTACCTCCCTCCTGACCTGTACGGCATTACAGTTCACACAGGTTGAGATAACATGGCTGAGTCTATCACATTTAATTCATTATCAGTCATCTACCACCAAGCCATTAATCATGGGGGAAAAGAACAGTGATCAACCGGGATGCTGTGAGTCCTGCTCATCTCCTACATGAGCCCTCACTACGATCCACACTTTCACTTCTATTTCCTTCCATTTTATCTGGAATGGAACGGAACAGATGATCAGCCGGGATATTGTGAGTCCTGCTTATCTCCTACATAAGCCCTCACTACGGTCCACAGTGTCATCTTTTGTTCCTTCCACTTCATCTAGAAGAAGAACAGAATGAGGATAAGCCGGGATGCTTGAGTCCTGCTCATTACTTACATGAGCCCTCACTACCATCCACCCTTCCTCTATTCCTTTCACTTCTTCATCATTTATATTCATCTCAATTCGCCACCACTTCATATAATCAACCTGCCTCAACGCAAAACCATCGGTTACCAGGTCAGAACGGAGAGTTTTATTTGATGATATTTTAGATTAATAGTGTCTTTTCTTTTTCTTTCACCTTTTTCTCTCCGCGGGGGGGTGGTGTGGCGAATTAATTATAATCGCGCGGCAACACCGTTGCCTAGTTACGACAGAAGAATAAAATAACAGGCCTGTCAATTCGAGACCGAATCACTTTCTTGTACATACCTATATATTCATTGTAAATATTTCTATATTATAAATATGTACATAACAACAATCTGGACTCATCATTTTACCTCCTTCTTTCCCGCTGCTGCTACAAGAACACTACATAAACACAAATAATAGCGGTAACAATATAGACGCCAAACATGTTTATTATTGAAATATAATATATAGAAACATGTAAACATACGTGTCAAATCATAGTTAAAATCATAATTACTACTGCTTCGGAATGACAGCTGTCTTTTCTTTGACAAAATGTTGATATTTCTTTATAATCATTCTATCTAGGGCATCAGCACTTAGTATGTTTAGTAAGTGGTAAAACCGATTAGATATGAATTTACCTTCCACACACTAATATATTTGACGGATAGACTTCAGACACATATAATCCGGTCACCTGTTAGCTATATACGCCTGGAGTTCTTAAATATATAGGTAACTGGCCGTTAATAGCCGATGTCGGGAATAATTCTGTGTTTTTTCGCTAGATGGCGCTAATTGTACTTTTTTTTAATACAGTTTCCTAGATTCAGCGGTGTTTCATTTTATAATAAGAAAAATCAGTAATTTAGGTATTCATAGTGGTCCTTCGAGCCGGATGTTCTTATGTGATTAATTAAAAAATCTCCTATACTCAAGCAAGTGTCAAAGAAAAAAAACAATATCGAACTAAGTTGACATGCGTTTTTCCTAACCTAAAAAACTATAGTGAAAAAAGATTACGAAAAATAAACAATTTGGACATTGAACATTTCTGTGATTTAATAGTGTATTCATATTAAAACATTTAAAACCGTTTACTATAAAAACAAATTACAATTTAGTGTAACTGGGACTTGTGAACAATTTGTGTTGTTAATATCGAACTTAGTAAATTTATCGAAAACTTTAACTTGTGTACTTAGTGATACTTATCATTTCCGTCTCATTTATTTGATAACAATGGAGAAAATATTACAATTACTTAACGTACAAGAAGAAAGATGTGAACAAATTTCTAAGGGACAACGAAATTATCACAAAAGTCCAAAACAAAGAATTACATTGAGCTACTTAGAAACGCGTTTGGAAAGTTTAGACAAGACATGGCAATCATTTAAAACCGATCATGATCAACTAATTGCAGAAATTAAAAGGGAAAAACGTAAAGAAATTGAATACTTTAAGAATGATATTTACAACCAATGTGAAGAAATATATATCGAATACAAGGGAGATTTACGAAATGAAATACAAAAATTGTCACCTAAGAATGAAAAACAACCAGCAGAAAAACAACTTAAAACTACCGAAATTACCTTACCGACTATCAAAATTCCTATATTTTCAAGCAAATACACGGATTGGCAATCCTTCCATGATTTATTCAATACATTAATCCATTCAAATAAGAACCTAGACAATGTTCAAAAACTTCATTATCTCAAAACATCTGTGACCGGTGAAGCCGAACAGTTACTTAGAAGTATACCTATAACAAGTCAAAACTATGAACAAGCTTGGACTACATTGAAAAATAGATATAATAACAAGAAGTATTTATCAAATTGTATTTTCAAGAAACTCTTTAATTTAAAAAATATATCATTTGAATCTGCATTTAATATAAAACAACTGATTGATACAACCATTGAATGTTTAAACTCATTGAAACATCTCGGTTTGCCTACGGAGTCATGGGATAGCATTATGGTCTATATGACAGTCACTAAATTAGATCCTGAAAGTCGTCGGCTATGGGAGCAACATACTTCACCAGACCAAGAGTTTACAACATTTAACCAATTGCAATTATTTCTTGAAACAAGATTCAGATCATTAGAAATGTTAGAACAATCAAATAAAATATTGAAACCAAGGACATTTTATTCAACAATAGATAACAAAACAATAATTTGTTCATATTGTAAAGGTGATAACTACATATATATGTAAACAGTTTGCAAAATTATGTTACAAAGAGAGAACAGACTTTGTACAAACTAACAAACTTTGCTTCAATTGTTTGATTCCAAATCATTCTGTAAATAAATGTTTACGGAAAACATCATGTCGTGTTTGCCAGAAGAAACATCATTCATTGTTACACCCTGAAAGAAAGGAACCTGTAAGAGGTGAAAGTCATGAAGATCAGACAAACATAGTGTCACATTTTGTAAAACAACCTGGTCAAATCTTATTAGCAACTGCACTGGTGGATGTGACTTCAAGTCATAGTAATATACACACCTACCGTGCTCTCATTGATCAAGGCTCTCAAGCCACGTTTGTGTCAGAAGATCTTGTTCAGACCTTGGGTTTGAAAAGAGAGAAAACCAGCGGCGTGGTATCAGGATTGAGTGGAGGAATAAAATTACAAACCAAATATACAGTACAGCTTGAACTTCGATCAAGACTGAAAACAAACTTCACTATCCTTATTAGAGCGTATGTATTACGCAATATCACAAACTACTTACCTACACAGCAAGTTACGATGTCTAGTTGGCCTGCCCTTGAAAACATAACACTAGCAGATCCAGGGTTTAATATTCCGAACAAAATACACCTACTGCTAGGCGCTGAAGTCTATAGCAAAATCATAGATGTCGGATTGCTGAAGAGTCCATCTGGGTCCATTATAGCACAATCTACACATCTGGGCTGGATTCTATCTGGTGATACTAGCAACACACAACCTGAAACACAAAAACAATTAACTAATTTACATGTATGTATATGTGATAATGATATACTGAAAAAATTTTGGGAGATTGAAAACGAAGTACTTACCTCTGAAAGAAAAATTACCCAAGAAGAAAAGAAATGTGAGGAGTTATACAAACAAACTACAATAAGAACGGAATCTGGTAGATATAAAGTGCATTTACCTTTTAGAGAAGATGTAGAGCCAGCAGAAAAAGTGTGGTAAAACTAAAGAAATAGCTACTTCTAGATTTTTACAACTGGAAAGACGATTCAAATACAACAATAAATTAAAACAAGAATATAGTACTGTGATCAATGAGTATCTCATTTTGAACTAGGACATATGATAGAAGCTTCCGAAGATATTGATGATGCAATTTACCTACCGCATCACGCTGTACTTAGAGAAGACAAAGATACTACAAGACTGCGTGTCGTCTTCGACGCGTCGGCTAAGGGATCCAAGGGATACTCACTTAATGATACCATGATGACTGGTCCTGTAATTCAAAGAGACTTACGAACACTATTAATGGAGTGGAGAACATTTAAAATAGTACTCATAAGTGATATTGTGAAGATGTACCGCCAAGTGCTGGTGACAGACAAACATACAGATTATCAAAGAATAGTGTGGCGGGAAAGCCCTCATAAAGATATAGCCTCATACAAACTACTTACTGT